GAAACAACTTGACACACCTGAGTTCACACACATACATCTCATTAATGTGTAAATGTGCATACACGTATGCAGCTCAGTCACATGGTGTTTGACAGTCAATGTTATCACAGCACATTATCAGGACAAGCAGTGAAGGTTAATTCCTGGATAATTTATATAAGATTGGTGAAGAGGTCGGCACTGATAACTCAGTCTGAAGCAACTTGCTGTGCAAATCACTCCCTGTCACAGACTTACCGGCAGCTGAAGCTCTCGCAAACACACACACACACACCAAGAGGCAAAGACTCACTTCTTACAGAGGGGAGTGTACAAGGTGGAAAGGAGAAGAGAGAACAGAGAAGAAGAATGTGTAATTTGGTGCCAGGTGATAAAAGAGTGTGGCAGTCAGCCATCAGGCTTTTGGTAATGGAATGCCTCTGTTACATTATACATTTAAACAATGTGACTTTCATCCTCACATGCTTTCTCACACGCACACGCACACGCAGACACACACACACACACACACACACACACACACACACACACACACACACACACACAGTCCTTTCTGTAGAGGAAAATCATTCATTAATACTTTGAGCACTTTCAGGCTTTCTGTGCATGCGTGTGTCAGTAAAAGAATTGACCTTAAGGATATTTTTATCATGGAAAAAAATGAAAATTGTATGCACAAAAGAAAAATCTTTTGATTATCATGTACAAACATGGCAGAGTTGCTCAGTAATTTTTTACAAGTCCAAGTCAAGTCTGAAGTCTCTAATGTTTGTACCGAGTTTTTCTATCATCTGCTGCACTGCGTTACCATGTCTATGGATTTCAAAGCATGCGCTGCATTATCATCCCTACTTACTATAAAGTTACACTTGACAATAAGGGAGGGAATGACATTCAGCTCATCAGACAGTTCCTTAACGTTAACGCACAAAAAACATAAAAATTCAAAAAAGGCCAATGTCAAACAACCGCAGGGAAGGAGTGGGAGTAAAAATCAGCCCAGGACTTTTAACTTGGACTGGTCCAACTAAAACTAATCTGGAGACAGCATCACATAGGCCATGGCCTGTGTCACCCTTAAGAACAATCATGTAGTAAACAGGGGATTAATTAATTATGATAATTTGTAGGACAATATGAACAACTAGCACATTAAGCTGTAGTTATTTTTTCACTCGCCTCTGTATAAGTTAGGAGCTATAGAGAGTGTGAGGTTAGAACTCAGACTGGACAGTACAGCAGTAAATACAACAACCAGACATATTTCAATTTTAGTAGCTTTTCTCCCTATGTAGAGTCTTTCTCTAATAAAATTATTTTGATCTGAGCTAATCACACTCACGCTTTGAATACTTTAAAAAGCATTTTAGGATTCCTGCTTCTTGGCGGAGGTTATAAAGATCATTCATCACAAGTCGCAAATCTCGAGTCCAAGTCAAGTCTTAAGTCTTTTCAGGAAGAGTCTCATGTCAAGTCTCAAGTCACTATGTGTGGGACTTAATTGTGACTCAAATCCGGATCGCAAACTCGAGTCTCCATCTCTGAAACATACTGGATTAACCTGTGATGGGGCACCATGGAGCAAATTAGCTACCTCCCAAATTCATTTAGGAATACGAGCCATCTGAGCATATTAGAAACCAAAGCAAGTGAAGTTATAATACTTAAGACTATTTATGGTCAACATTTTTTTAACAATTGCAATTCAATGTATTTCCATTCTGTATTTATAATTAAGTTTTCATGGTTGGTGGTGGGTTCCGCCATTTCTGCACGCTTCTCAAATTGCTTACAAATGCACAAGAGATTCACAGCAGACAATGCATACATGTAATCCAGCGTTACTGTCTGTAAACAGCCTCACTGTTTACTGTTCACTCTCCCACAGCCATATCAGAGCAGTACTAGGTTACTGCTATTGCTAACGAAACATTTCTTACTGCACCAGCTCAATGCTTAAAACAGAGTTGCTTTTATTGTGGAGGAGTAACAGGAACCACAATTTATTAGTCAGTGTGTGTTTAAACAAGACATATGTCATTTTTGGCATCTTTTAGATCCGTTTTGAAACATTACAGAACTGTTAGATGCAGAGCTGCAGGACCTCCAGCTCCTCAACAAGGTAACCACATCTTCTTTTACTGTGTCCTGCCATTGTGTGGAAAACTTCTTGTGCCGTCCTGACTTGAAATCAGACTGCGGTTGCTCATGGCATAATGGAAGAAGGCCAAAGATTCACTGACTCAAAGCGAGACTTTAGCTGCTTCGGTATCTTTCTCTATTTCAAAGAAAGCAGCTACTCGAGGGGTGTTCCCTGCAGTGTTACAGTGTTAAACCCCACTTGCCGTGTCCACAGCACAAACAGGAATCACCCTGATATCTGTTTACCACAATGACATTTACAAATGTGCGTCAATGTGCACGTCGATGCAGGGGAGGCTGTTTATTGTACCTTTGGGAAAGAACCATTTCATTAAAGTGTGTGTTTACATATCTGTGTGTGTGCGTTGTCAGCACAAACTAGGATGCACACACTCAACAGCACATACACACACACACACGTACTGTATCCACTGTAACCTTGCCCACTTGAGGGCACACAGAAAAACGCACACTCTCTGAGTCAGCAGAAACAGGAGCTTGGTGACACCGCTAATGAACCCAAGTGTTATTCTTCAATTAAACTACGGACAGGTACCGAGCCAACGCACTCCTCTCAGGACATGACAGCTGAACCCTTCTCCTCCTGAAAGCTCCCTTCCTCCTTATGTATCACTCACTCTGCCTCTCTTCTTTCCTGCTCCATCATGCCTCACTTCTCTCCACTGTGAAGTCTCATTGTCTCATTGGTTTTTTTCTGCCTCATTCCAATTATACGCACAGTAAGGTATGAGTCGTAGCAAGCAAGCCTAGCATGTCAGGCGCATAGCTGCCAACCTATGTCATTACATACTTATCAGCTCTTTCCACTTCCTCGGTGTCTATCAATCTGTCAGTGAGCTGGAGGTACAGTTCTCCTGCAGTGGCCTGTTGGTCCAGCAGAGGGCATCACCACTGTGTGGAGATGCCACTAGTATAAATGATATTATCCAGAAATATTAGACATAGCAACTCAAGGAGTATTGGAATTGCCAGGTTGTTAGATAAAAACATTTAATATTAGATTCGGTTCAGAGATGTTAAACTTGACTTCGCTGAAACAATGAGTCTGCAGGTTTTACACTCTCTTGAAGTCTCTTTTATTTTTGGTTTAAATTTTTCTACTTTTTGGGCTCTAATTTGAATCAGATGAAGAATGTGAGCCTTTACACTTGTTTCACTTAATGTCATTTTTGTTTTTGCCTTGAGGAAAGAGCTGAGTTTACCCACAAGCCGAGGGAAAAACAATAAAACACTCATTTCCCCTCATTAAACCAAATAAATTAAACACATACCAGTGGTGAAAAGGAGTACATTTCTTCAAGCAATGTCCACTTTTTGAGGTACTTGTACTTTACCTGAGTATTTCTACTTCATGCTACTTTATATTTTACATGTCTGGTGTTATTTCTAGTTACCTTTCAGATTTGATATGGTAAATGTATAATCAGGTTATAAAATATGATGCAAAGTTATATATCACACAGTTACCTATAGGAGGCAGTTCCATGTCAACCACCAACAACATTAAAGTAAGCTATTGTTTATATTTTAATGCATCGACAATAATAATCTAGTACCATAATAACATATCACTGACATGACCTATTATGTATTATAACTTCTATATGAACTTTTTATTGGACGACTTTTACTTGTAACAGTGTATTTGTATGGCCTTGTATTAGTCTTATATGGACGCCTTTTCCACCACTGACACGTGCACACTCAGTCACACGATGTTGGAGGGGGGAGGCTGTGTGTATAGGTTTATTGTCCTTCATAACATCCGTGCAGTCACTTCCTTCATCAATCAGCATCTTAGCATCACTCACAGTCCCTCACTCCCTTTTCCTCTCTATTCCCTCCTCTCCCGCGCCGTGATATCTCAGCTGTTGCTCGGAGAGAGAGAGAGAGAGAGAGAGAGAGAGAGAGAGAGAGACAGACAGAGAGACAGAGACAGAGAGAGCCTGTCCGGTGGTCAGTCTCCACCGGTTTCCACTGTAGGGACGAGGAGGAAGTCACGATGCACGAGAATCCACTACTTTCAAAAAGAAGTGTGTGCGTTCTGGCGCGCGCTGACCGGTCCGATGCGGTAACAGGCTCTTGACTTACGCAGCGCGGCGGATCACAGACTGCAACGTTGCCCGGCGCACGCACGCATACAGACATATAGTCTACGTGTACGGACACACACGCTCGCTTGGGGTTTCCTCTTTCATGGAAACGAAGGGGGTATCAGGAGCACAATCCTGAGTAGCCACAAGACTGGAAAATACTTACCCTAATATCACCAGGGCAAATGGAAATGAGAAGGTGGCGCTCACCTTATGAGTGAAAACACATCTGACCCATTTTAGATCTCACAACAACCAACATGCAGGATTGTTTAAAGCTAAAAACAAAAACAAAGAAAATCACACAAGAGGAACATCCAAGGTCATTTGTCTGTTATATTTGTGAGATACAATTTGCTTACAAAGAATTAGCCTGTTCAAAAAACTTAATTCACTACAGAAGTGAGGTCTGCATATAACCTAAACCCATACGATTGTGTCTATATTAATGTCCTTGATAGAAAAGATGCCATTTGTACCTGACATGTGAGGGATGAGAAATGGATTAAAAGCATTTACAGAGTGGATGATGTTTCATCCGGTTACATCTGTGTAAAATATCACAATATCGGGATGCCCCTTATTCTTTCCCCCTCAAATAAAGAAATAAAGAAATAAAAATAGAGTACTTCTGAACTCTGCGTTTAGTAGTCACATGAATAGGTTAGGTGAAACTTGGGAGAGAAAAAAAAAAAGACTTCAGGGCAACGCGCAGTGCTATCAGCCCATATAGACACACCTACCAATCCACGTCTCCAGACCGCGGGTGCTTGTTAATCGCCACCACTGAGCCACAGTATGAAGAGACGCAGACAGAGACAGAGGTGGGCTTTTTTGTCGTAACAACTTAAGTGCGCAGTGACAGAGGAATAAACCAGCCAGGGCAGATAGACAAAGTTTTGTGGGACGCGGTTTTCTTTTTCACTGAACGTCATCCTGGTCCATGGGTTCAAGTTGCACATAGGAGTAGGCTACAGGTTTCCAATGGACAGACACTTGGAGACGGCTGGCGCAACAAGCATGGGATTATTTTTGTAATGTGGATTGCTACTCCCTTGCAAGAAAATAAAGGTCTGCTGCGGAACAATGTGAGACGTTATGCGTCTTGGATTCTCGTGTTTCTGGATATCTTGAAAATCATTGGCAACAGTTGAGAAGTTATGCGCAAAGGATTGTACCCTCCAACCCCGGGACCAACATGGATTTGCCGTTACAACCCTCTGCCCCTTATTTAGAGAAGTTTTAGCCGGTCCACTTGTGTTGTTGTAAACTTCATGTTTGAGAACAAATCGCCACATTGGCCTCTTGGATTTTAAAGCGTCGCCTGCCTTTGGATTGGATTTCCAACACCATGAACTTTATTGACAGTTTGACACTATTATTTTTGACGCTGTCAGCTGTCAAGGTGAGTCGTATGTCCCAGAAAGCGAACTGGACCGAAAAGAAAGAAACACCAATCGACCTTCTATTTGCGACATGTAGTTACTGGTCATTAATGTGTAGCTCGCCCTTGCCTTTGCTCTGGCTAGGTCATCGCTCATGTTTGAACAAGCTGAAATGTTTCGTGGCTTTGGGGAGATTTAAACAGCCATTACGCAGAGCCGACACTATATAAACCAAAACCACACACTCGTGGGTGGTGTGTTTTTTGTGTTGCAAATGTGGCATGAGAGGTGATTTTGGAATGAATGTTGTGAGGTTTGACGCTAGGTGATTGCAGGCCTGCTCTAAAACCACCTTGGAGATATTATTACGCTTTAAAGGCGCAGTGGCTCCGTTCTGAATTAGGACATGTGAGCAGGTTCACTCCTGGCACCGAGGCGACCCTCATGGTTAGCCCGCTTCAGTGAGAAGAAGCACAGCTTTTCACACTGAAATTTAACACTCGGATCCAGAACAAGATATGCATTACTCCACAGATGAATCAGGTCGACTGGGGAATTTTAATGGCTGCTTGAGAGCGCACTGTAAATCGTGTTCCATATAATCATTAATCAAGCGCAGCGTGTCCAAGGAGGCTTTGAGCAAAGGTTTCAAGGTGAAAAAATAAAGCAGCTCACCGCTTCAGACGCAGGCTGCAGTGGCATATTTTTCAACATGACTGGACTAAAAGTGATTTCTAGCATGAGCTTGCCACTTCAGATCAAGCAAATATGTTATATGTTGCTCCCCTCTCCAGCATCCCATCCGAATTTAATGAGGTTTACCCCCCTCCACGGTCTAACAAAGTGTTTATTTAACTAACTGGTTGATCTCATGACAGCTAATCCACCCAATCAACGCTGAACAGTATCAGGATGCTGCCTCGACTGCTCATTGCCAGTCAGTCTATCATCACGCGGTTTAGGGGCCGGTGTTCGCAGCTTGACACCCGTCCATTAATAATACAGTATATAGTGTTTTGGAGCGCTGGGGTCCCTCAGCCCTCAAGGCTGGACCCTCTCACGCCACCAGAAGGGGGTGGAGCCTCCGAACAACCAGAACTTTTTTTTTTTTTTCAATTTAGGAATGGAAAAGAGTTTCCTCGCTTTCCTCACAAGGCCGACTCACTCAATACATGCCGGTGCTACGGGACCGGGTCTCACGCAATATTGGCGAGATATTGCACGACTTGCACGCGCGTGTATATGAAAAAGGGAGGGAGAGGCATTGTGAGAGAAGGGGGCGCGCTGTGTTGTGCGAGTGTGTGTGTGTGTGTGTGTGTGTGTGCGCGCGCAGTAAGGCGACAGAGAGTTGTGCGTAATGAACGCACGGATGGAAAGTTGCCAAAATCCTTTGTGGTCCGGTGTGGTGACAGCTACCCCCTGTGAGGGAAAGTAGCAGGCTGAAATTCTTACCGGTTTTAATGGCAACACTTATTAATCCGTGTTGCCTGGAGGCAGCGGGGCACACATTATAAGTCTGGTAACTGAAACAAAAGCGACACAGTAACTCAGACAGTTTTTGAAGTTTTGCCACGTAGCAGAATTGAGGTCGACTTGTTTGGCTCCGTGAACCTCTGGTCAAATATTTGGCCATATAAGGCCTTACACACAACACATGCAAGGCTATATAGTAACTACCATACAGGCAACATAAGGAATCCTATTCTGAGATAAGTTCTTTCAAAACGCGTTTACTTGTTTATAGAAGACACAGTTTCAACATCTGACTCTCACTGCCCCATACTCTGAGTTTAGGCCGGTCTAAGATAAGATACATAATGTGCTTTTTTCATATTCTGGCAGTGGTCAACAGAAAATGTCAAAATGCAAATACATTTTTTGCGCAACTGTGGATAAGTAAAGGGCATGGGCGACATTTCTCTGGGCTCTTGCACAATGTACTGTAACTAACAGATTGCCTTTTTTCCCCCCTCGCAGAGTGCCCACATACCGAAGGAAACAGAGAGAGGTCCACATGACGGTAGGTGTCCCACAGGGCACCGTGGGAATACAGTCTGCACTGGGCTCCCTGGCTGGCACACAGCCAAACAGTGGGCTGGTTTGAGGTTCACCTTGACATTAAAAAGGGAAATTATCGCCTCCTGGTGGACAACTTTGTAATTTGACCCCGTCCAAATCTGCCCCCCCACCCCCTCCCCCCTCCAACCTCTCACTTTTTGCTAAATGAGAGCAGTTTCACCCCTAAACCTCAACACTTGGACGTGTTCATCTTGTGCAGCATTCCTCCTTGTTTGAGGTTAAGCGGGGGAAATGTTATGGTGACCAGACTCTGTTATAGAGCGGAATTTCACCCTCTTGGCTCACTATTTCATTTTGCACAATCGCAGCGTTGCTCAATCTAATTTGGACAATCAGAAGCTGAACTTTATGATATTGTTCAGGCCCACCATGTTTGGTTTGGCTTCCCAGAGGGCTGTCAGGCCGGGGTTGTGTTGGGTTCACTAATGTTCCGAGTGATATTTTGGAGGTGTTGTCTGTCTGTGTGCTAATATCTTTCTCAAGAGCAGAACTCCTGCAAAGACTGAGAGAGGGGGGAAGTAGACTGAAGGTGAAACAGGCTGTTATTGTAGAGCAGTAGATGAATCACTGAGCTGAACCACAATGGGGCAGAAGAAAGGCTATAAAAATGGGGTGACAGTCGAGTCCAGCAATGATTTGGTGCAGCAGATGGGGTCAAAATAGATATTTAGACTGATAGAGTGCTTATTAATCGCAATAGGAAATTGCATAAGCAGGTAAGTCTCTATTTACTTGTATAAAACCAAGGTTACCAAGTGCTTCTTAATGGAACAATAGAAATAAAACATGTGTGTGCATGTATGTGTGTGTTTCATCTCCTTCACTTTGACTCCCTTGAGAGGCTGCCAGTGTTTTTTTTTATTCTAGTCTCCTTGTAGTTGTCTGTTATTGTTACGGCACAGTAGTATTCAGGAGTCAGTGGTTTAGTCTAGAGCTGCTCTGCCATTTTATAACCATGCACACTGTGACTCTGTCTCCCAGTGATCCCTTTAATGGAGGTGTACAACAAGAGTTTGTGCCAGCCTCGGGAGCTGCTGGTGGAGATTCTGCAGGAGTACCCGGAGGAGGTGGAGCACATCTTCATACCGTCCTGCGTGGTGCTGACGCGCTGCGCCGGTTGCTGCAATGACGAGATGCTGCAGTGCATGCCAACATCCAGCTATAACATTACAATGGAGGTCAGCGGCGTTATTTACAACAGCAATACTTTGGGTGTTTTGTGCAGAAGGGTTCACAGGGGGTGTGGGTGGGGGGGGTGCCCTCTTTGCTTTTATCTTCTACAGTCAGGATGTGCCTGTGCCTGAAGTGAACACTGTATTACTTTTATTTTTGCCCAAATATGACAGCAGAGGGGCACATCGGCTGCTTTAGTGTCCCGCCGTTTGGCCCGGATCCACTTCAGCCCATCCAAGTGGCGGTGTGGCCGTCGTGGCATTTGGGCTGAAATGAAGGTGGTGCCCCTTTTTAAATTTAAACATCGGCCCCTTGAAGGGAACTATTTGCTCTTGATTCGAGTAAAGACTTGTACTGAAGGGTGACGATCTTTTTGAGCTTTGCGTCTATTGTCCCTGGTTACTGTTCCGTCCGATGCCCTATGACTTCACAACGGCCTGTTAAACATTTCAATTTTAACATCTTGAGTCTTATAGTCCTGTTTTTGTCTTAAATCTCCCCACTCATGACAAACTAAAGTAGACGTTTCCAGCTGGTCAACAGTTGGCACCTTTCAGCTCTTGATTGGCTGAAGTCCCCTGAACCATCCAATCATCCGAGGGGCAGGGTTGGAAACCACAGAGCTTTTTCCGAAACAACACAGTGACCTTACTGTTGGTCCTTTTGTTGATCCTTGAGTCCATTTATATCTGCTTTTGCCTATTCTGGAAAATGTTGGGGTTGTAACTAACAACACAAAGGACCTGTAAAATATGTAGAAACACTATAAATCCACATGTATTTTATTCAACTCTGTAACAGTTTCTCTTCTTCTTCTCTTACAGATTAAAAGAATAAAACCACAAAAGCAACAAAATGATATTTTCATGAGTTTTACAGAACACAGCGCATGTGAGTGTAGGTAAGAAACCTTGAACACACACTGGAACACACACAACACCACTGAAACACAAAACCACTGTACTATTGTGCAGCAGAGCAGAGGTCGACCAAACGCATCATGTGAAGTTATTGTTTTCACTTTGCCTCCGACACATTTAACAGATACACATCAGGTAGATTCATATCTTATCTTTGCTTCTTTCACTTCTTTGATCTTAATAAAAAACCCGTGACAGTGTAAAACATTACACATCATTTATCCTCATTCCCTTACATTGCTCAGGTAAAGGAAATACATTTGTGTTCCTTCAGGTCATTCCTGGAGCAACATCAGCTTGATAGCTTTAGTTACTGATCTCTGAGGTTAGCGCTGTGTCAGTGTCATCTCTGTACCCTCCAGTCGCAGTCAGGTGACGTCTCCTGCTGTTCAGTGACCACACATTTACATCTTATGACGCACTTTGTTACTCTTTACTTTATTTTCCGAGGCAGATAAAGTTGTTGTTTTTTTTAAATCCAATCTATTAAAGCCTGTCTTTTATTAAAAGACATATTTGATCTGTGTGACGTTAATGGGTAAACTGTGACACAGAAGCACGGGACATGCATCATCCTCCCGCATTTAAGGGAAATTTAATGAGCAAACAAATATTGTAGGGAGCACTGTTGGCTGAGAGTCAAGCTCTCTGGTCATTTTATGCCTCTTTTCTGAGATACAAAGTCGAAAGTAAGTTGTTAAGTTAGTCTCCCTGCACTCAGTGAGGCTGCCCCCGTCTATCTGTAGAAAGCTATTAAGAAATGTCACTGAACTTTATGCTGTACTGCTGACTGCAATCTCTGATGACTCCATATTTTTTTTGTAAAACCATTTAGATGGTGCGATAAACTTTTAGGGCAGCTTTATAAAAATAGAGGTTGTACTCAATCTATTTAGTATTTGTAAACTATATTTTTAAGAAAATGCTATATAGACGTTAAGTGCGACTAACAGTTCATTAAGTCACTGTTAAAATGTTACATCTTTCCAAATAGTCAGAAAAAACAATATGTAACCTGGTGTAAAGTAAACTACACTCAATTATACATTTTTAGGTATTTTTATTATTTCCATTTTATGCTACTATTGCTATAAGCAGTAACCTTATACAGTCGTGACGCAGCTGTAGGAGAGTAAACAGTGAGCTGACATCAATGAGATAAAATTTCAGACAGTAACCCTGAATCCCGCATGTAAGCAATATGGAATTCAGCACGCGAATGGCAGACGCTGCACGAACAATAACAACTACTATATAATAGCATGAATTTGCCTTCATGAAAATCTTAAGGATTAAACCTGTATCAGTAACAATAATCCAATTCAACATTCTTTGATTTTTGATAGCCAGAAGGTCTTCTGATAATTTACACATACATGCACGCACACATTTACCTTCATGCTTTAGTTATTGTATAAAGCTCTCAAATAGAAACTTGGCAAGGTGTCTGTGGCCTTCTTAAATGAAACGCTGTTTCCCAACAGATTTGGCTAACTGCTGTCTCGGGAGTGTGCTAGCAGATTTATTGCTCCACACTGTTATCAGCAAGAGTTGTCACATGGACAAGTAATGAAACAAACCGGACAACCTGCTATTGTAGTTATATGTGTGTGTGTGTGTGTGTGCGTGTGCGTGTGCGTGTGTGTGTGTGTGTGTCCATCAGTTAACACACCCCTTTGTGTGTACACTGCATTATTTCCTAACAAATCTGGTTCATTTACCGAGGCCAGGCATTTGAAAGTGAAAGCCAGGTTTATCATAGTTTCTGGTAAAGGACGCTGACGTAACACGATTTGAAAAGATTGATGTGAGCCCACCCATGCTGATAATGAGCCTTCTGGTCTCTAATGATCTTGATATGTATCTGTTTACCAGGAAACAATGGTAGGCTGCGATCTAATGTCATTTTGTTTTGTTCCTGCGTTTCAGGTTAAAGAAAGAAGTGAGAGAACAGAAAGAAAAGTGAGTACAGCGCTCTTTCTGCATGAAGATTGGGTTTTTTGGGGGAAACAATGGGGATTTGAGATTTGATCTTTTTTCAGTGTTGCTCTGCAAACAAACTCTCAGCCGTCTGCAACTCTCAGCCTTTCTGGCATTATCCCATATGCTCTTTCACACTTAATTGATCTGTTATTTTCTCCCCCCTCTGTCTCTCCATTTTCTTTCACACACTCAAACACACAGAAAAAGAATACTCCACAACGATAATATTTCATTAAAACCCCAGCAGACAGGCTGCTACATGAGACCATGTTATGCTGAGATTAGCATGCAGCTCTCAGGTGATAAAAACAGGGAATACCAGCTTAATCCAGTCAGGTGAATGAGTGACACTCGATGGGGTCATTGCCCTCTCTAGTCCTGTCCTTTACACCATCCTCCTCTTTTCTATCACATCTTTACATTCCTCTCCTCTCTTCTTTACTGTTTACATCCCACTTAACTTCTGTTACTCCTGTTCCTGGCTGCTGTGATATAGATAACAGTGTTTTTGAGGAGCTTTTAAACTTTTGTGTTTTATGATCCATGCTTAAGTTATCTTCCCTTCTCATGCAACAGAAGTCAGTGTGCTAAGAGTAATAAAACTCTTTAATCCTCTTTCTGTGACCGATCGTTAATATCTTTCCATTGCAGGATGGTCGTTGGTCGTATTTTGGTTTTATGTCAGGTTGTCTGTCATATAGATAAGGGTTACCTCTGAGGCCTCCTCTTTAACCTTGTCATAACTGTTTATGAGTCCAGCATTGATGGCGTGCTGCTACAAAGTGATGGTCTTAGGGTCGTTCAACTCCTGTTTCTGATGCTTTCATACTTCCATGTTAGTTTTAATGCTGGCTGCTGACTTCTACCATGGGGTCTGCTGTTCTGTTAGGGTGAGTCACCCCGCTGAGGTTGTGAAACCAGTTAACTGTCAACTTCCACAGTGAAACTGATTTTTGAACAACAACAAAGAGGAAATTCTTTAATTTTATAGCATGTCAGCTTCATCCTCTTCCTTACAGATTGGGGACGTATTTATTACTGAATCCCAGCTGGGTCTGATCTAGCCCTGTTTGTGAGCCCATTTCATTATCATGAAATTTGGTTTATGACCCAATACTTGCAACCGTACATTGTGCTTAGTGCTAATTAGCTAATGCTAGCATGCTAACACTAAGATGGTGAACATGGTAAACATTATACCTGCTAAGCATCAACATGTCAGCACTGTCATTGTGACCATGTTAGCAATTAGCTCAAAACACTGCTGTGCCTACATACAACTTCACAGCGCAGCTAGCATGGCTTTAGACTCAGTCTTTTTTTTACCTGGTATCCACTGCACAAAATATTTAAATTCAATATTTCCATAGACTCAACTGGCAACTTCCATGGTTTATGCAGAAAACTTACTGTAGCTTACAGTGAAGTAGAAAAGGAGCTCTCCTTTCCTAGTTCACGTCGTCACGGCATCACCATCTGTGGTAATATTGGTTTTAAACACAAATTTTTCCTCACAAAAACATTTCATCGTTCCTCACAGAAAGCAGGTATCTATGAGATCAGGAAAACACATTTAAAGACGTAGCCTGCCGCTCGATAACAGGTAAAAAGAAAACTGGAAAGGCTGTGTGACCAGATAACAGAGTAACATATGGAGTGCTGAGGTATCAGCATTGATGTACTGCAAATACCATCAATGACAATAGAAAAATCTGATTCAATTTGATTATAGTTTATTACATACAGCTAAAACATGAACTCATCTTGCATTTGAACACACAGACAGATATTTTAATCCAGCCTACACCTGTGAAGATCCAGGAGTATATTCATAAACATACACCCGTTTGCTCTCATTGTGCCGCGGTCTGAAAAACATTGAATCAGCCATAAAGCGCTGACCCAGATAGAGTGAAAGATGCAGTTTTGGTGACGTTTATTGTCCCCAATCCAAGTGGGAAATTTCAGAATAACTGCCAGAGCCAATCCTCAGACTATGAATCTCTTTCACACGCCGCTGAGTCATTGTACTGTTTTACAAAAATGGAACATTTGATATTCATCACATTCACAAACTACAGGATGTGAGGAACCCATGTACAGTAAGGTGCATTACTGCGGGAGTGTCTTCACAAATAAGGACAATGGTTGCTTCAGCTTTTAAAAAGTTGGTTGCGTCATTATTATTTATTTATTTATTTTTGTCTTTCTTTCTTTAAACTCATATCCTCCCTCAATGAAAACATTGAGATACAAACATTCATGTTAACACTGCCTGATGCCTTTCTCATAATGTGACAATTTATTATCCCGAACAAGTCAATCAGTAACAATAATCTAATTAAACAATAACCTGTTTTCAAATACTGATTTATTTTTCTTTGTTTTTTTTTGGCTCTTGCATTTACAGAAATCAAAACACAGAGGCTAACACATCAGTCCATCTCTCTCCTCAGTCTCTCAGGCATCAATCTGCATTGTTGTCCTCTTTCTCTTGCAGAAAATCCCGGAAAGGCAAGGGTAAAGGCCAAAAGAGAAAACGAAAGAAAAACCGTGACAAAACAATTCACGATGCGTATGTCAGCTCCGCCTTCTCCACCTACTTGCACCTGAGTGTTGCTCTTCTCATAATTAAGCTCATTTGGGAGGAGCTCCTTTGTCCGTTTTAATTTGCCCGTTAACCTCTTAATTTGCCCGTTAGCCATTATCAATTAGCATGTTGCTTCCGCGCATTGTCCTAACTTTGTCTCATCAGTCATGTCCTACATACTCAGAACACCAGTTTCTAAGCTGCCCTGTTTGCTAACATGTTTTGCTAACTTAGCTTTAGCAAAACTTTACATAACAGCGATACAGCAGACTTGCTAGCCATATCCCGCGAGAAGTGAACCATAACCCATTTCCCCTCCATCTAATCTCCTCCCAGCCTAACCAGCACAATCTTCAAAAGAAAGTCACTTCTTATGAGACTGGAACGATGGTTGGGATGAGATACAGCAGTGTATCATGAAAACAGTAGAAACCTGAGGTACAAGTTGCTCCTAACATCTCGTCACGTCGCTAGTATCATGATTGATAATGGACATGTTTAAAGAGGCTGCAATAAACAGATCTTGGGTCGGCTGTTAGCTGTAACTTGAACCTTCTACTGAAACAGATCACGGCTCCACCATCATGGCTTTGCAAAGGCCGGCTCATACTGTTCTGGTATCTGTGCTGGGATCACCAGGATTGTAATCACGGTCCTGTGCTCAGTGTTGAGTCTGTGCTGCTTTGCTGTGTCTCGTACCCGTCTCCTTTGCACTCTTTGTTCTTTTCATCTTTACAAACAGGTTTTGCTGTCCCGTGCATTATGCTGGTACTTTTTATGCAATGTGGAGATAAGTGATGGCTATCTATTGCCTTTTTTTCTGTTTTTTTTTTGTTAGGGGGGATTTGTAAACCAGCAAATTGTTAAGCAAGCACTGTTTTTGTGTCTTTCTTTGCCTGCTTTTGTCTCTGAACTCGCACAAAAGCACCCATATTTTATTCAAAAAATAATATAATGATGATCTCTTGTTTCTTCAATGCTCATACTGTGACAGAATACATGTATGTGTGTTCTTTTGTAATTTGTATATTGAGATGTCAATATATCTGAGCCTTCATCTGTCCATTTTCAGCCTCTGTTCTGCATCTAATGTCTCTCTGTGGGAAACACAATTTTCGGTTTTCACTCAATAAAATGAAACCTTTCTTAACGGAGAACCAAGCAGACCCTTGAGTCTTCTTTATTAAGAGTTGAACAATTGTAATAGTGAGAGCAAGAGGTGTAATGTCATTGACCTGCGGTCTAAAGCCAACTTGTGTCATTTTGTGTTGCATGATCCGGTCCAGAGCTTTGCTCACTGCATGTCTAACACATACAAGGCATTTGTGAGCGGTCCAATCAATGAGGGAGGGCTTGGGGGGCGTGGGTGAGGGAAATTTACTGCTTGAATATTTGCCTGCAATGCTACCCAACTGTCACATGCAGAACAACTTTTCAGGCATTGGCTTGGAAGAGCAAAGCGGAGCATATCAAAGGGTTGGCCTAAGGGTGACCTGTCTTGGTTATAGTACACTGTGATAATCTGCCTCTCCCCATCTCTGTCTGTCTGTCTTTCTGTGTCCAGTGTTTGTGAGCCATGTTGTGATCACTGCTCAGAGAGGAGAAAGCGTTTGTTCGTGCAGGATCCTGCAACCTGTCGGTGCTCCTGCAAACACACAGACGAATACTGTAAAGAACGCCAGCTAGAGCTCAACGAGAGGACCTGCAAGTAAGTGTCGCCGGTGAAAAAACTGAAGTCAAACGAGAAGTTCAGGGTTCTGTCCAAGGAGTTCAAAATCAAAGAACACACATTAAAACACATTGTCTAGACGGAGATGGTAATTTTTTGGAAAACATATAATATTTCCTGTAAATTTCTTTCATATATCAATTTTTAAACCAATAGTTCCACATTTTGGAAGATGTGCTTCTTTGTTTTGTTTTTTTTTTTTTGTTGTATGTTTTTTGCCGAATTAGAAGAGAGGATTGACACCACTCTTGTGTGTGTTTGATAAAAATATGTAGCTGGAGCCAACGGCCGATTAGCTTAGCTTAAAGCAACAAATGCGATGTGACAATGTGAAAGAAGTCGCTCATAGTCAAGAACCTAACGTATCATCACCTGAATCTGCAACTCCCCCGTATTACTCACTGTCCGGACCGCAACTTTAACTTTTTGGTTCATGGCATCGTTTTCAGTCTGAGCAGACAGCTGTTGAGTGTAAAAAAAGCTTTGAAAAACCAACCGCACACTACCTACTCAGCACCAAACGGCAGACAGACATTGTTAGCAAACAGCTGGTGAACATAGTGGAGCATTTAGCAGCTAAACAGCCAGATGTTTCCCTCAGGAGTTGATGGAGAGCAGTAAAATATTGGATTTACATTCATCAGATGACCAGAAACACAACTCCAAATGAACGATTATGTTGCTCCAGAGCTGCTGGATGTTCTTCGATGGCCACCCACAGTCTAGGGTCACCACTGGTTGTGAATTTAGCTCTTTATGTCTATGTGTGTGTTTGTATTGTGTCTGAGAAAAGGACGCAACAGTACAAATCTTCTGCTTTTTTCTTCATTTCTTTCTTGTTTAGATGTGACAAGCCAAGAAGATGAGAGAGGTGGGAGCACCAGATGTACAAGATGAAGGAATATTCTAAAGATATTTCACAGCACAGCACTTTGACCTTTGAACCGTAAGCTCTTCTTTTCTGTGGAAAGCATTCCCCTTGGACTGGCTGAGAGAGAACAAAAAGAAAGACTGAACTGAAGTTTCCTCCCACTGTATATCTGTGTGTATATAGACCATGATAAAAAGAAAAAGAGTACAGAATTGTTATGCTGCTACAGAAACAAATAACTAAACCTATCATTTGACAAAACGCAAATATCCGCCAAGTGGTTTTGCATTTCTAACAGGCTTGCAATGCAGGTGTAGTCTTGTTGTCAATTCATTGTATGCAATTACTTCACTGGATATGAGTCTACTGTGGTTGTGTGTCAATCAAAAGTTGCAAAACCTCTCAATCTAAGATATATTTAACTGCTAAAACAGCGGGTGAGGCCGAAGAAGACATGGGTGCGCCCTCCTTTCAAAAGTGACGGATGGATTTTTGTCGGCCGATGTCTACTTTCGCTTTGGACTAAAACAGGAGGACACTGGGACAGCTGATGGAAACCTTGAATCTGTGTCTTCATGATATCGCTTCCCTCCCTCAGAGGACATTGCAGGGCTGACATGGACATACACAATGTTTTCACTATTGTGATCAGCTTGCAGGAGAAGAGACTCTGGAGTGCCATATACTTTTAAAGGGATACTGGTCATCAATAATAGCATTTAATGTTTTGCTATGTCCTACATGAAAACCACTGAAAACATCCTATACTGTAGTTTGATTCCATTTGAAAAACTGTGCCTCACAAAAATGTACTGAGAAATCTTTCGAGTGCTTTTTAAATTATTTTTGTTTCATTTTTCAGGAGAGGGGATTGTCAAAGTAGTTGTGTTAGTTGTTGAGCTCAATACAGAATCCATTGATTGCATATCTTCTTCTCTGAACTTGTACATACTTAATATCCCTTTATGCCATAGTCCACTCTAGATAATTTATAATGTTATAGAGTATTTTTCAGTATTCAGTCTTCTACCCATATTTAATTTGGTCTATTTATATATGCAGTGTTATGTACCTGTGGCTGTCCCACCCCCCACCCCCCAATGTGTAAGGTCACTGATGGCTACTCGCAGCATGGACACTCTCTGTGCTTTTCTACGAAAAAAAAAAAAAAAAAAAAATCAAAAATGATTTGTTAACATTCCCTAGATGAATCGCTTGTATTGATGTGCTAATGACATCTCTGGATTTTCAACCCCTCTTATCTAAGGGTGTGGGTGCTGTGTAGAGTTTTTAACGTTTCTGTGCGTTTGTGTCCGTGTGTGTGTATGAATGTGCGTCCATGTGCATTAGCCAATGTGCACATCTGCGTGTAGGTGTTAGTAAGTTGTATTTAAGTATTTAAGTATGTAGCGGACCTGTGTTTTGTCCGTCCTGCAAGATGCAAATACAAATAAACTACTGCTAGCAGCTCAGTATACACTACCACAACACCACCACAGTTTTAAATTTTAAAACAACCTGCCATCAGTCTTAGAGCCCTCGTTATTAGTTCTCTTTGTCTCTTCTTCTCTATTAACATGTTTTCTGTGTCTATGTAAAACAGTAAAGCATATTTATTTTCAAATTATATTGTTTTTATATAAAATAAGGAAAAGGTTGCTGTGTTGTGAATGCTGTGTTTTCAAGAGATTTAATTAGGCAACATGAGTTTCCATGTTTTTGTGCGGCAAGCTGATACTCACGCATTTAATAAGAACCCCTGCAGAATGTAATCTGAGCGGAAAATAGAACGGCAAAATAAGAAATTCCTGCACTCTTTTCATGACAGACAGACCGAGATTCATCCTTATGAATAAAATGGCACTTTGAAGCAGTGTGCAGTAATTTCATCTGTTAAATCGAACTCTAGACAGCCATTTAGGAGTGGTGGAGGAACTGTGTGTCATCACAAAAAAGGAAGCTAAAATATTTTTCAATGGCCACAGGATTATGTAATAGCAAATAACAGAAGTTAACTGTGTTTGTGGTTAAGTTTTCATAATGGTTAACAAAGAAAACAAAGATTTCTTCATGTGATTGAAATGTTTTCCTGCACAGTTATTAAGTTAAGCACACAGACTTCCCCTCCCCATTGGAAGACTGGATTTAAAATTAAATTTAAAAAATTAATTGTTTTTATGTATAAACCTTAAGATCAAGTTGAAAATAGTTATTTTGCTCTTAGTAAGACTCAAGTAACGGCTTGGGGTGGTTAAAGTTAGGATAAAAATATGGGTTGGACCATCTCTGCCCATAATTGCATAAGAACATATAATTCTATCCACATTGAATGCTCATTAACCTGGCGCTGATGCAGAGCAAAAAAACAAAAAAACACATATTTGCTGCAGTGAGAAGTTGAATCTGGCTAAACTTTTGCCATAATACAATGCAACATCATCTCGGCCAATCGAATACATGAAAGCTCAAATTTCTAGTAGATCACTTTGTAACATGAACAGGCTGATTCTACCATTTTCTTACAATTTAAAAATAGAGAACGTTGTGATTGTCACAGTAATGTCAAGACAGTGTAAAATCCTCAGAGTTATATAATATTGCACAGTGCTTTGGCATCTGAGAAGACTTCAAACTCATACCTCTCGATTCATATTTAACTGGCTCACTCGTACCTGAAACAACACAGCTTCCCTCCAAATCTGCTCTTGGCATTTGTTCATTACACAAACAAATCCTGAACGACAACATTTAAGAGGTAATTTTGTAGGTGATCATTCAGCTAGACTTACTGAGGCGATCTCTACTTCATCATCAAGAAACAATGCAACTTGGTTGTCAAAACGACTGGAAAGACAGTTCTGGTTTGACTGCAGAGTTAGGCTAACACCTCCACTGGCCCTTTTCCACCACAATAACTTTTCCAGGAATCTAATAACCTTTTAAAGAATTCGGAAACATTACCTGGAACAAAGGTCCCTGGAACATGTTTCCAATTATGGTTCATGGGCTGTTCTTCCTGTACCTCACTAAACCTGTTTTTTCTACTCTCCTTTTATTGGTTAAGAAATTCTCACTTTTTGGGCATGTTGCTGGAGTTTTGACACTGCAAACTTGATATCTGTAGCCTCCCAATGAAAATTTTTCCGTTCCGCTTTACCAGATTATCATGTCACCTGTCCCCCTTATCCGCCAGGATAGACAAAGAGCAGTTTCAGCTACTAGAGAATGGGATTAGTGAGTTGTTCAGTGACACTTCAGTAGTAGTTGATCTCTAGGCCCCTGGACCAAATCTAACCCGTATGAATGTAGATTAAGTGGAGGGTTTTTGGATCTTTGGCCATGTTTGTTTTGAAACTCGCTTCATCTTAACCCCATTGCTTGCTACTTCCCGTTGGATTAGCTCCTGCACGGCGCTAATGCTCTGCTCTGCTCTCCCTGACTCATGCTCTTTCTGTGCATACCTAAATATAAAGCACACCATATAATCCCTGAAAATTGTGGGGCCCCCTTCACTGGGTAAAACACCCCAAAGAATGTCATAAACCATCTAATCTGTGATTTACCAGGAACCCAGAACTCAGCAAGCTAGCTAGCTGCCTGTCTAGCCCAACTGTGTTGATTTAACATCAGTTTGGACTGTTTGGCTTGTTTTAATGTGATACTTAATGGGCAGTATTATAAATAAAAAAAATTGATAAGGAGGTTTTAAGACAAGCAGTGTATCATTTTAGTTTAATTGATGACAAAAGAAAATTAAGTTGCCTTGCACCAACTTTAAAAAAAGGGAGGAGTTTTATCCTGTAGCTCGCCTGATTGTTATTTCTCTAAACACATAGTGTGATTCATCAAGCCCAGAGAATGCCTGAGTGTTTTAATGGGAGACTAAAAAGCACATTAATCCTCATTTTATGTAACCTTTAAAACATATTCTGACCCTTTCAGGCTAAAGAGAGAAAACCTTGCATCAGACCTAAATCTGTTTACACAGTCACATTATGGGGACTTGTGGTCCTTATGGGGACAAAAAGCAAGTCCCCATAATGCAAGTCATAAAATGTCAATGTGAATGTTTTAAGGTTAGGTTTGGGTTAGACTAAGTGTGTAGGCTACTTTACATTCACTTTCCTTTCAATTCTAGTTTAGAAATCGTCTTATCTCTTGTACACTCCCATTTGGACATAGGACCATTTCTTGTCACATAAAGTGTAATAGATTATTAAGGAGGAGGAAATAACATGGTTCAGGTTTTATCTGAGCCTGCGTCCTTATCAGGCAAAAGTTTAATGTAAAAGAGTTGAATGTGATCTGAATCTAATCTCACGTGCCTTTTTCTGGTGATGCAACTCTGCTTCACGTCACTTACAAGTCATTGCAAAATGAGAGTGACTAACACAACTTCTAAAGCACATGATAGTTCAGGCCATGATACACACATAGCTTAGGATAACATCTCTCTCTCAAATTAAATCGAAGGCAACTGGACTTGTATTTGTCTGTGGAAGACGTTTCGCCTCTTATCCAAACGTCTTCCACAAACAAATACAACCCCAGTTGCCTTCGATTTAATTTGAGAGAGAGATAACTATGACCTGGACGAATGAGAACATTCACAGACTTAGGATAACATGTTCAGCAACCGCCAATCAAGAGATTTGGATGCAGATGCTCCCCTGACAACAGCTATTATTGACACCAAGGAAACACAAATATAACACCTGTTTTGTTTTGTTTTTAAATAACTGGTTTTAGACTATGATGACTTCTCATCACACAGGATCCAATTGTGTTAGACACGTAACATCCCAAGTAAATGACACAGAAGAACAGCAGATACTATATGTAGGTTGTCAGGTCAATTTGAGATCTGACCCCTGAAGTAATTTTGCAATTTGAAAGACACAGCAGCCGTTATAATGATATGAGGTATACTACCAACAATTAGAACAATGAGACCCAGGTTGTGAAAAATGAAACCTTTAAACCTGCATCAACTAATTCTTGGTCACTTGGAGGCAGTGGAAATAAGCTGTAAACACAACATTCATATATTGTCTTTTGTTAAGTTGAGATGGCAGGGCAGATAGTGTACAGTGGCCTTTTCACTTGAAGTAGCTGCTTAACTGACAGTGATGAGAGTGAACCAAAATGGTAAAGTTGCAAGCTGTAAAACCAAAACAATGAGCTGAAAGATGCTAAAATACTCCATGATGGAGGCTATACCTAGAAACTAGAATTACCTTACTGCCTCGCAGTTGTATGCGTCCGCCACTCAGTCAACTTGCAGTTTACATCAATGTCTCTATACTGTATCTAGTAAAGACTTTAAGTTGTAGCCAGTACAGTAGATGCATCAATTATGGATGTTGCTGCAAAGAAGCTACAAATTCTACAGCGTGGATACTTCACACACATCTTCAACCTAAATTCTAATCAGTTCATCGAAGTGAACATTTGTGCCAAATTTGAAGACATTCCCTAACAGTGTTCCCGAGATATCACGTTCACGAGAAAGGGACAGACGACAAAAAACCTGCTCATGGTAAAGCAATAAAATTACTCCCCAATTACTGTGTTTCTGCCATTACCCCTATCAGTCAGCATGATGCTTCCCGTGCCATAACCCAGATCTGTCTAATAACCCATATTTGTCTAAAAAGACTAAAAGGTTAAAAGGTTTTACTGTTTTTTTTTTGTTTTGTTTTTTTAAACAAACAAAAGTGATTCACAACGCACAACTAAATGCTCTTTTTTCTTATTAAATGTTCAAATCCAGACATGCAAAGGATTAGCACAATGTAATAAAGATTTGAAGTGCAAACAGACAGGGGATGATGTCAGATTTAGGCACAAGAAGGGATGGTATGAAAATGTAGGACAATGGAAGCAGGTGTGATTAAAGCTCCTACCATGGCTTTAAGAGCTGAGGGAGGCGACGTGCTCACAGGCAGGTAAATCACCCCACGCTGCTGATGTAAACCAAGAAATCACGACTCGGCAAAAACCCCTCCCTGAGGCGTGTCTGCATGATATGTGCACACTCACACGTACTACGTCTTTAAGGCTTCTGATCTATATTTACCCACGTTTCCGACTGATTGTGACACTGAAAAAATATCCTCCATGAGTCATGAGGCAGAGAACCAGAGAGGTGAAGGAGGGAGGGGAATGGGAATAAGAC